TTCCTTCTTGAATTGGCTTTTTCAAAAAGATAATTGTTAAAAAGTCTAATTTAAGGAGGGTATAAAATATCAGATTTAGTGGATATTTTTTGTTAGTGAAATGTCCATTATTTGTGAAATAGTTTAGTGAGAAATATTTTTATTGGTTTTGGAGAACATTTTGTTTTCAATTTTACCTCTTAATTTTTTTGTTGACTTTTTTCTACACTATCTGTTCAAATTTTTTGGTTATCTATTCAAATTATTATTTTTATAAGTATGTTTAATTTTTTTGATTATCTGTTCAAATTTGTATTTATCTATTAAAATTTACCAATTCACCAAAGCTATTAGGGCCCCCAAACATTTTTCAAAGATAATTGTTAAAAAGTCTAATTTAAGGAGGGTATAAAATATCAGATTTAGTGGATATTTTTTGTTAGTGAAATGTCCATTATTTGTGAAATAGTTTAGTGAGAAATATTTTTACTGGTTTTGGAGAACATTTTGTTTTCAATTTTACCTCTTAATTTATTTGTTGACTTTTTTCTACACTATCTGTTCAAATTTTTTGGTTATCTATTCAAATTATTATTTTTATATGTTTAATTTTTTTGATTATCTGTTCAAATTTGTATCTATCTATTAAAATTTACCAATTCACCAAACCTATTTTTTCCTATCTTTTGAAATTTACAAAGCCTATTTTTTCTATATGTTCAAATTTTTATTTTAATTTGTCTGAAGCAGTGAGTTAATCGATTTGATCCATATCATTTTGCACAGTCAAGATTTCAATTTTTTATTTTTATTTTTGTATCTATTGAAATATATTGAACAGATCTGAGCCTTTTTGAACAAATCTATTCGATCTTCATCTTCAACCACATCAACCCTAGATCTAGATCAACCATCAACAAACCCTAATTCTATGCAAAAGAAACAGTCCAATTTGTACATACCAACCAGTTTAAACAGTCCTTAAATCGCCGTTTCATAAATCAGAAGAAGAATCAGAAGAGAACAAGAGGTTGGTTACATATTACATTATACATTACTCTCTACCTAAGGAGGAGAGAGGAGTTTTTGGTGTTGGCTTGGAAATCTAGGGTTTTGAAAGAGTTTTTTGGAAGCTCGGAGGTAGGTAAGGTAATCTTGTAATGGTAGTGTTGGTGAGAGAGGAGGCCTAATGGAAAACGTGGACTCTAATGAGCCAAAGAAGAAGAGGCCTCATTTGAACTCTAACAACTTACTCTCTCTATGAAATCGAGTTGTTCTTGTAGATCTGGACGACGATAGCCGTTAGGGTTTGAAGAGGAAGAAAAAGATGATGGCGACGATTAGGGTTTGAAAATGAAGAAGACGGTGGACCGACGGTTGACTTGTAGATATGGACTAACGGTTGGATCAGAGGTGGATGGTTGAGTGAACCACGTTGAATTCGTCTTCGCTTGCCGCAACCGCCTCATCGCTAACACTGACGTTCTTTACGACAATGGTGTAACGGGGGATCTAGCTTCGGCGATAGTGAAAGAGAAGATCTACAGTGGATGTCTGTGGTGGTGGAGAGAAAAAAGAGCATATGAGAGAGAAAAAAAGACGAGAGAGGGGTAGCAAACTCAACTCGGATTGTCGATTTGAACTCCGATCTACACCGTCGCCATGGGCAGCCTTTGAGTTAACCATGCAGTCTCTAATTAAAGGCAGCAGATCGAAGAGAGAGAGAGAGAGATTTAAAATGAGAGGTTTGTCCCCATATAACGCATATATACACCTAGATAGTTTGGTCAGTTATCTAAGCTTGTCCTTATGGATAACTATTTTAGCTCTTGAACTTTTGACCAACTAAAATTCAATTATGGATTTATGGACTGAGTGTTCGTTTTTTCTTCAATTTTTTCTTTTTGTTTTTCTTTTTAATATTTGTGAACTTTAAAATATATATATAAAAAATTTACGCTTTTAAGTTCTACTTAACAAATTAAAATTCCTAGGATTTCAAATTATAGAAGAATATGGAAAAAGTTTGACATAAATTGATCATACTTTTCCTACAAACATAAAACATCCTAGAACTATCTTGAAGGCTTAGGCTTGTACCGAGCCCAAAATCGGATTGGAGTGTGTTGTTGGATTTCGTAGGCCTACTACATTCTATATTGATGATCTCAAATAATTCACACAATTACAAAAATAGTTAAAGATCATACTTTGACAAAAAAAAAAGATCTTACTTTTATTGGAAGTGTGATAAAAAAAATTATATTGATATTTTAATCACACTTAATTTGATTGAGTGTGATAATATTTATTTTTTATGTCACTTTTCAATTAAGTGTGATTATATATATATTTTTCAATCACACATTCTAATTAAAGTGTGATTATTTATATATTTTTTAATCACACCTTCTAATTAAAGTGTGATTATATATACACTACTACTTTTTAATCACACTTTTAAAGTAAATGTGATTATATATATATTTTTTAATCACACATTTTAATTAAAGTGTGATTATATATACACCACTACTTTTTAATCACACTTTTTAAACAAGTGTGATTATATATATATTTTTTAATCACACATTTTAATTAAAGTGTGATTATATATACATTACTACTTTTTAATCACACTTTTTAAACAAGTGTGATTATATATATAATTTTTAATCACACATTCTAATTAAAGTGTGATTATATATACACTACTACTTTTTAATCACACTTTTTAAACAAGTGTGATTATATATATATTTTTTAATCACACATTTTAATTAAAGTGTGATTATATATACATTACTACTTTTTAATCACACTTTTTAAACAAGTGTGATTATATATATATTTTTTAATCACACATTTTAATTAAAGTGTGATTATATATACATTACTACTTTTTAATCACACTTTTTAAACAAGTGTGATTATATATATATTTTTTAATCACACATTTTAATTAAAGTGTGATTATATATACATTACTACTTTTTAATCACACTTTTTAAACAAGTGTGATTATATATATATTTTTTAATCACACATTTTAATTAAAGTGTGATTATATATACATTACTACTTTTTAATCACACTTTTTAAACAAGTGTGATTATATATATATTTTTTAATCACACATTTTAATTAAAGTGTGATTATATATACATTACTACTTTTTAATCACACTTTTTAAACAAGTGTGATTATATATATATTTTTTAATCACACATTTTAATTAAAGTGTGATTATATATACATTACTACTTTTTAATCACACTCCCTAAATAGGTGTGATTGTATAAAATATTTCAATTTGATTTTTATATAAAATATACAACTACTACTACCATTACCTCTCCTCCACCACTGCCACTCCATCTCCTCTGTCTGTCTCTCCCTTTCTCTATGTGTCTCTGTCTCTCTTCTCTCTCTCTCACTCATCACTCTTCTCTGTCTGTCCGTCTCTCTCATTCTCTCTGTGTCTCTGTCTCTCTTCTCTTTCTCTCTCTCACTCATCACTTTTCTTTGTCTGTCTGCCTCTCTGTTTTTCTCTGTATCTCTCGTCCATCTCTCTTCTCTCTATCTCTTTCATCTATCTTCTCTCTCTGTCTCTTTTCTCTCTCGCTCTCTCGCTCATCTCTTTCTGTCTCTCTCTCGTTTATCTCTTTTTGCTATTCTCTCTCTCTCTCTCTCTCTTTGTCTATCTCTCGAGCATCTTTTGTTTCTCTTTTTTTTTGTCTCTGTCTCTATCTCTCTGTCTCTCTCGTTTTTCTCTCTTCTCTCTCTCTCCTTTTTCTATGTCTCGCTCTCTCTCGTTAATCTCTTTTCGCTTTTTTTTCTCTCTTTTTGTTAATCTCTTGTTCATCTCTTGTTTCTCTATCTTTTTCTGTCTCACTCTCTCTCTATCTTTTTCTCTCTTTGTCTATCTTTATCTCTTTCTCTCTCTGTCTCTCACTCATCACTCTTCTCTTTCTCTGTCTACATGTCTGTTTGTTTGTCTGTCTCTCTCTCTCTCTCTCCCTCACTGTGTTCGCCTTGCTCACTTTCTCCCCCATCTCTTCTCTATTTGTTGAGCTCCCTCTCGATTTAGCAATCCAACCATGTTGGGGACCCCCAGTGAGCGGTGACCCCCAGCACCCCCACCTCCACGTGGGGGGCTGTAAGAGCAAGAGTGATAATAAATAAATAAATAAATTTTTTTGAACCAATCAGAAAATAGTGGGGGTGGTGGGGGTCACTCCCACTGGGGGTCTAGGGCATTTTTCTTATCGATCCATTACAAGGAAATGCACTTTTAACGACCACTTTGTCTCTTTCTCGCTTATCACTTTGTCTCTATCTCTCTATCTTTCTTCTCTATCTGTCTCTCACTTATCTCTCCCTCTCACCACCCATCTCCTCTACCACATTTACCACTCACTACAAGAATTTACACATTTTGCGACCACTTTTGCCGACCAAAAAAATTTTTGTCGCAAAAAAATGACATTTGGCGACCAAATTTTAATTAGTCGCAAATGATCATTATTTTTGGCGACCAAATATTTTTGGTCGCAGAAGGTTATATTTTGGCGACCAAAAAATTTGTTGGTTGCAAAAAGTGGTATACTTTTGCCGACCAACTACAAATTTGGTCGCGAAAGGTCACATATTTTTTGGCGACCAAAAATTTGGTCGCGAAAACCTTATTTTCAGCAACTAAAAAAAATTAGTCGCCAAATTAGTACTTTTAGCGACTAATATTTTAGTCGCCGTTGATTAAGATTTGGCAACTGAAAAAATTTGTCGGCGAAAAAACCTGTTTTTGCGACTAATTTGACGTTTGGTCGCCAAAAGTTTGGGGGGAAATTTGATTTTCAGTGGGGGCGGGATTTGAATTTTCTTTCTCTCCTTCGGTGCCCACTCTCTCTACCAGGCCTCACTGCCAAGTCTCAGCCTTTCTTTCTCTCTTTCTCTCCACCTAAGAATCCTCCTCCACATCTTCTCTTTCTCTCTTTCAAAAAACCCCCATATTCAGTTTTGTATGGCAGTTCACTTGCTAGCATACGAGGTAGCTGACCTCTGCCTAGGCAAGCCGCCTCTCAAATCTCTCTCATGGTCGATGTCATTTGCTACCTCTGCAAAGACGAAAACCTCTCTTCTCCTTCCTCTGCTCTCAAATCCCCTGTTTCTGTCTTGCTCCCCAAACTTCCTGGTCTTGTCAGGCACGTCGAACCCTCTTGCAGGTATGGCTCTCTTTCTCTTTCTCTTTCTCTTTCTCCACTTCCCTGTTCTTCCCCATCATCTATCTACAAAAGAATACATGATTTAGGGCAATCCATTTGCAAAAAATGGGTTTGTGTACTGAAATTGTTCATTGGGAAATTGATGATAGGCACTGGGTATAAACCGTTGATGATTTATTTGAAGCTATCAGATCTGAGGGCGCATCATTGTTTCATATTATTTTTTTTTGTTGGTCTGTATTTTCATGCTATTTGTGTATATTTAAAGCTGCATTCGATACTTTTTTGGGGATAAAAAATTGGGTTTTGGGTTTTATATTCAGTATTTATGCAATAAAAAATTGGGTTTTGGGTTTTATATTCAGTATTTATGCAATAAAAAATTGGGTTTTGGGTTTTATATTCAGTATTTATGCAATAAAAAATTGGGTTTTGGGTTTTATATTCAGTATTTATGCAATAAAAAATTGGGTTTTGGGTTTTATATTCAGTATTTATGCAATAAAAAATTGGGTTTTGGGTTTTATATTCAGTATTTATGCAATAAAAAATTGGGTTTTGGGTTTTATATTCAGTATTTATGCAATAAAAAATTGGGTTTTGGGTTTTATATTCAGTATTTATGCAATAAAAAATTGGGTTTTGGGTTTTATATTCAGTATTTATGCAATAAAAAATTGGGTTTTGGGTTTTATATTCAGTATTTATGCAATAAAAAATTGGGTTTTGGGTTTTATATTCAGTATTTATGCAATAAAAAATTGGGTTTTGGGTTTTATATTCAGTATTTATGCAATAAAAAATTGGGTTTTGGGTTTTATATTCAGTATTTATGCAATAAAAAATTGGGTTTTGGGTTTTATATTCAGTATTTATGCAATAAAAAATTGGGTTTTGGGTTTTATATTCAGTATTTATGCAATAAAAAATTGGGTTTTGGGTTTTATATTCAGTATTTATGCAATAAAAAATTGGGTTTTGGGTTTTATATTCAGTATTTATGCAATAAAAAATTGGGTTTTGGGTTTTATATTCAGTATTTATGCAATAAAAAATTGGGTTTTGGGTTTTATATTCAGTATTTATGCAATAAAAAATTGGGTTTTGGGTTTTATATTCAGTATTTATGCAATAAAAAATTGGGTTTTGGGTTTTATATTCAGTATTTATGCAATAAAAAATTGGGTTTTGGGTTTTATATTCAGTATTTATGCAATGTGCCTGGTAGATTGAGTGATTCACTTTTATATTTTGTTGTATTTGCTTTTATAGATTGCTTGATGATAGGTTTTTCAATGTGTAGAGGGGTTTCTCCAATGTCCTCTACATGTTCGATAAATTGCCTCAAAGAATTGACCCCACAATTCCAGCCAAGAATCTATGCATGTTTTATATTATGTGTTATTGATTGTGTGTGCAGCTTTTGTATTTGTTTTTGCCATTAAAGTGGTGACATGGGAAATGCCTTTTTAATGATAAGAAAAATTGCTTAGGTAAATGTCACTGTATTGTAAAAGCAATTTGAGGTCTCTACTTTATTAAATGTCTTGATTGAAGGATTTTTATTTTATTTTTTGGCCAGATTGTTTGATGGACATTGTGTCTATTTCTATATCATCTTTTAGTTTGTTTTAACTTGTCTGTGGAAGGTTTCACTTGGTCCACCATTATTTACTTGGCTTTGTTGCGAGTCTTGGTGGCTCTGTCCAAAGATCTTTTAGTAAATTTTCTTAGATATGATAACAAATCAATGGATGAGAATGTAAATATATAATAATTACATCTAACAAGCATTGCACGAGTTGTTGACAATGTCATTTAGTATTCTCCTGTTCCATATTTTAATTCAATTTATAGGTGACAAAATTCTACCTTTTGCAGTCAAGTGGCCGATATAAATATAAATGAAAAAGGAAGATGAAACTAAGAAAATGAAGATTTTCTGGTCACCTTCCGTGCGAAAAGAATGTAAAGCAATGCCCTCTTTCTTTCTTCTTTCTTGGTTCTTTTGCAGGTTTCTAAACCTTTAAGCTTGCAATGATGCAGGCTTGATATTCACCTTGCAGCTTGTATCCAAACCTATGATTTTTTCGGTTTTGTGTTAGGCCTAACAGTCTTTGGCTGTGACTTGGGGCCTCTTATTTTTGATTAATTATACTCTAGATGAAAGTTAATGAGATCTTTTTTGGTAAGTGATTTAATGAGATTTATTGCCCTAGAAATCAACATAGGAGTTTTAAGGGAAATGTAGAATATATTTTGTTTTTGGATCAGTGTTCCTAATGGTTCATGGAGATAGTAGTAGACTCGTGAAATATCTATTAAGTGGCTACCTGTTTTAGAAATTTTCCTTGATCTTCATCTGCATAGTAAAATCAATTTTAGTGAATCTAATGGTCTGTTTGTTGGAAAATTCAGTCAGAAGTGAATTTTCTGGGAAGGCTTTCTCATCCGAACTTAGTGAAGCTGTTTGGGTACTGTTGGGAGGATCAAGAGCTGTTACTTGTATACGAGTTTATGCAGAAGGGAAGCTTGGAAAACCATCTTTTCAGACGTAAGAACTTTAGCAAAGAACAAAAGAAAAGAAAAGAAAAGAAAAGAAAAGAAAAGAAAAGAAAAGAAAAGAAAAGAAAAGAAAAGAAAAGAAAAGAAAAGAAAAGAAAAGAAAAGAAAAGAAAAGAAAAGAAAAGAAAAGAAAAGAAAAGAAAAGAAAAGAAAAGAAAAGAAAAGAAAAGAAAAGAAAAGAAAAGAAAAGAAAAGAAAAGAAAAGAAAAGAAAAGAAAAGAAAAGAAAAGAAAAGAAAAGAAAAGAAAAGAAAAGAAAAGAAAAGAAAAGAAAAGAAAAGAAAAGAAAAGAAAAGAAAAGAAAAGAAAAGAAAAGAAAAGAAAAGAAAAGAAAAGAAAAGAAAAGAAAAGAAAAGAAAAGAAAAGAAAAGAAAAGAAAAGAAAAGAAAAGAAAAGAAAAGAAAAGAAAAGAAAAGAAAAGAAAAGAAAAGAAAAGAAAAGAAAAGAAAAGAAAAGAAAAGAAAAGAAAAGAAAAGAAAAGAAAAGAAAAGAAAAGAAAAGAAAAGAAAAGAAAAGAAAAGAAAAGAAAAGAAAAGAAAAGAAAAGAAAAGAAAAGAAAAGAAAAGAAAAGAAAAGAAAAGAAAAGAAAAGAAAAGAAAAGAAAAGAAAAGAAAAGAAAAGAAAAGAAAAGAAAAGAAAAGAAAAGAAAAGAAAAGAAAAGAAAAGAAAAGAAAAGAAAAGAAAAGAAAAGAAAAGAAAAGAAAAGAAAAGAAAAGAAAAGAAAAGAAAAGAAAAGAAAAGAAAAGAAAAGAAAAGAAAAGAAAAGAAAAGAAAAGAAAAGAAAAGAAAAGAAAAGAAAAGAAAAGAAAAGAAAAGAAAAGAAAAGAAAAGAAAAGAAAAGAAAAGAAAAGAAAAGAAAAGAAAAGAAAAGAAAAGAAAAGAAAAGAAAAGAAAAGAAAAGAAAAGAAAAGAAAAGAAAAGAAAAGAAAA